AAAATATTGATTGAGATACTCTGCAACACTCCTAGCATTGTGTGCACCACAACCGTCTTGCATAAAGTATTGAAGATTTTGCCTTGTTTGTAAGGGCATCTCATCGAGTACTTCCTCCAGTAAATGTAGGTATCGGAACTAATTTAAATTACCATCCAAAAAAATCGGCCCAATAATCTAATTATTGATTAGTCCACACCACACATTTTAGGTAAAACGGAACTGTGGTCTAACTTCTCTGAATTAAATGGGGATTAAAAGTAGCATACAAATGCATGTTCCTGGGATTAAATATTCCACTATTAATAAAGGAGCATTCATTGCAATCTCAACATTGAGTAGAGTAGCAAACCTAACTAATGATAGTTCAAATAAAACCCCTGTCAAAAAAGGAAAAAACCCATAATGAGGCAAGATATACCTCTAAATTCTGTACGTACAGACACTATTGAGCATTTTCCTTCATGGAAAAGTTGTAGATTGCAAGGTTATAACAATTGTAGGTTTAGATCATTTGTATATTGCAAAAAATGTAAAGTTACCTATGTCTAAATAAAGACAGAAATTGTTTTGCATCATTTCATACATAATCAGTTGTTGTTCGGTTCATTGAATGTCATATATGGCTCAGTCTTTATTTTGTATTTTTTATTTTTTTGCATATCAAGCCATATATGGCGGTTTTTTAATTTAAGGAAAATTTATGTAATTTTTTGTTTATATCGCTTAATTACACCAACTAAAACCATGTTTAAAGATATTTTTTTTTATTGAACGAATAATAATTCATGCAGTAGAGGGTTAAGACTGTTATAAATGAAATAAGTAAAAATTAAACATTTCTATGTCCAAACATCTACAAATATTTAAAAGCATATTTTATTTCATCAGGCACCTAACTTTCTTCCAAACTCAACGAGTTCTACTAAATGTATAATTGAATTGGTAAGTTTTAACTATGTTGAAAATTTTAAATGTTACTGATTTAATGTTAATTCTAAGTAAAAGGTAAAAACTTTTCCGTTGTTTGAAATTACCAAATTACAAAGAAAGAAAGTCTTAATTCTTTTAGAGAAGTTGGATTATAATTTTGTTTCCTCCTTCATTGACTTTGTTTAATACGCTACAACTGACTAATTTTTTAATGCGCCTTGTTTCAGAGTGTTTCTTTAATTAAATTGTTCATTAACTCAAGAATTAAATTATACGGTGATAATAAACGTTACTTTCAAGTAATAGGACTTTGAGAAAAACACGTTTAACAACTAATCTTATTTTAACCGATTTTAACCCAAATATAGAATATAAGTACATACAAAAGAAAATATATCGAAAAAATATCAAAAGCATATCAAAAACAGATCGAAAACAAATGGAAAACATATCGAAAACATATCGAAAACATATCGAAAACATATCGAAAACATATCGAAAACATATCGAAAACATATCGAAAACATATCGAAAATATATCGAAAACATATCCAAAATATATCAAAATCATATCGAATACATATAGAAAACATATCGAAAATACAAAACCAAACTTATATGGAATCATTTTGTATTTTTGTAAGGAAAAAATTTAGTATTTAACTTTAAGATAAGGCTTTTTGTTCTCAACAAACACGATAATACAGAAAAACGACTGCTGCGATTGATTATCTTGTGAATTTGCTGTTCAGCAGAAAAATCACGATTCTTCGGTAATTTTATTTCGGTCCAAAGAAACTGTGCATGTTGGACTAACAGATATTCAAAGGGGAATAATTATTACTCTCATTGAACAAGGAAAGCCCCAAAGAGACGTAATTACCCAGGGTGTTGTATCGAAAACATATGCAAGGTACTTGAAACTAAAAGCTCTCAAGAACAAGCCCAGTCAAAGTCGTCAAAGAGTTACAACTGAATAACAGGACCGCTTTGTGGGTTAAATTATTAAAAAAATCCCAGTATTTCTTATCCAGAGCTACAACGACAACTTCTAAAATCTACAGGTGTAAACGTTTTAGTTGAAATCATAAGAAAAAGACTTCGCGCTCGATGGTTGTACAGTAAGAGAGAAACATGTCCCACAGTTATCTAGGCAAAATAAAATTGACCAGCTAAATTGGTGCCTGCAACACCCAAACTGGATAATTGAGAATTGGCAAAATGTTCTTTTTTCGGATAAGATCAGAATTAGCCTTACGAGATGAATTTCGAATTCAAGTTCTCAGAGCACCCGGAAAACGAGCAAGACTTTAGGCTGCCAGATTTATCCCAAGATATCAAGGAGGAACTGAAATGTTCTAGGGAGATATGCTGGGAGCAACAACTCTATTGTTATCACTTCAACAAACTTTTACCAGTTGGAGGTATGTTGATTTAGTGCTAGAACCAATCGTAAGGCTTTGGAGAGCTGCAACCTTCAGAGTCAAAATTTTAATCATCATTCACTTCTTATTCATCTTCTTATTCGCTTATTTCTAATTCAAAATTCGAATTGTGTTGTTCTTACTCTATACCTTCACTTTCATCAGATATGTCTCTTACCCCTCCTACTTCCTCTTCTGAGTCCGTATCGCATATAACCTGGTCCAGAGCCTCTATTTCATTTTGAGACAATATTTTCGGATTTTTTACTCGATGCCTAAAAAAATCAATTAAATTACGATTAATATTTACCTACAAATACACTTGATTTTTGTAAAAAATGTTAAAAATAAAACATTTACATATATTTACATAATTACTCGCGTTGGTGTATTCTGTACACCACGACAAATTTCTCGAAATATCTCACCTACTACTTCAGCGATCAAAACCATGCTAATAGTACACCTGGAAGACCCATTGAAAGAATTATAGCTGGCTCGGCAACACCGAATAAGCTACTGCACGGACTCGGCAGCTTTCGGCACCACGTTGGTGTATTTTTTACACCAGTGCGAGTAGTCAAAAGTTAAGGAGGAAATAATGTCATAAAATCGCCTAAAGCCGACTCTGTTCTTTTTTTCCCTTCGTGTCTGCCCCGCTGGCGAGATCGAGACTCACTCGAGACTCGAGCAAACGACTCGAATGTTTTATCTCGCAGTCCGTCGCGTGAATAAGGAATTTCGAAGAATTTCTAGACTGCCGAGAATATACTAGAGCAGAGCTGGCTTTATATAAATCTTCTAAAGATAAATTGTAAATGTATTAAATAAATGAAAATTGTGGAGTATAATAGTGCCTAAGTAGAAAGCAAATTAATAGTACGTTATAAATAAATTATAAATAAACTATTTTAAAACTAACCAATCGGTTCATAACTCTCCTGTGACTGCATTTAACAGGCCTTATACAATTTACAAATAAACATAATATGTAGTTATGTGAGACGACCCATTTTAAACAGTTAATAATCTTTTATATTATACCAAATTCTCACTGGGACGTGTAAATTCACATCTGCCGTTATCCAAATTTTTTTCTATTAAATCAACTCAATCCCAAATCACGCCTTATTAAATACGAACCCGGCTGTAACCGTTTCAACGACCACAAAAAAAGCATAAGCGAAAAATACAGTTATACAATACCAAAAATATGATCGTAAATTGAGAGGAACTCTCCGATCGGTCTCAGAAAAGATTTCCAAGGATAAACAAAAACCTAAAGTGAACATTAGGATCCAAAGAAGCGCAATATAGGAAATCAGACCGTCAGAATGTTAGAATGTGGCTAAATTGGAGGGTAAATGTACCCCATAAAACAAATGAAGGTTGAACCAACAATCTGAAAAATGTTCTTTAATTCAACGCGCTGGGAAGAGTAGGCTGGTAAAATGAGACTGATGGAAGGAAAACACGAAGTCGTTATCTGGCTGAGAGGGAATAATCAATTGTTCTTTTTTTTTTTCAGTAACGTCGTTGTTGAGTGGTTTAAACGTGTATCTTAAATGTAAAAGATATTTTTATGCAATCTACTAAGCCATAAAAACATTCACAGAAAGTGAGAAAATATAACGATTTTTATAGTTTAGTAGTTATAACATAACCCACTCAAAAAATATTCATAACGAATGATTTCTGTTTCATTATTAAGTAAAGATTTCTGAAAACTATTTAGTTGGGGAAAATATCCATTGAAACACAGCTCTACAAAAAAAAAATTTTTTTTGTTGCCCTGGATATCATCGCGAATATTTATGTTTTCAAGTGTCCAGATTTCGAATATATTCATGAAAGTTCTCAATGTGCTCGTATTTTTATGATTTTTGCATGTCTTATGTGTTAAACAATTATCGGCTTCTTAGAAATAAAATTAAGTTCTTCAGTCATGATTAAGGCTTCTGCGCAACTTTTTAGCGCATACAAACATCACGTGATCCCACCTCTCAGACGCCTTGCTCCACAGAACAGCTGAAATCTCAGTTATATGACAATATTGAAGTACTTACACGTGAATCTAGTTAAGTTGTCATGGATTAATATTTTGTTTCAATTACTGTATGTCCATTCTGATATATTCGTCTTGTCTTCTAAAATATGAGTTCGTCACGGAGAAAGTGTAAATATTGTAGTGATTTATTTTGTTATATTTGCGGTGTTTATATATCAAAAAAACAAAAACGAAATATCAGACTTTGTCAAGGAGAGTTATGTTGAATATTTCGGTTTTGGAATGGACAGATTAGGTAAACCATGGGTTCCTAATAAAGTTTGTAAATGCTGTGTTGAGTCTTTACGGTTGTGGAAAAAAGGAGAACGTTCTGGATTAGACTTTGGTATTCCTATGATCTGGATGGAGCCTACGAATCATTTTGATGATTGTTACTTTTGTGTAGTAGATGTTAAAGGTTTCAATCGAAATCAAAAGTGGAAATACCCAGACTTACAGTCTACGAAATGTCCGGTTCCACACAGTGAAAATCTCCCTCGGCCTATTTACGTTTCAAAAGTAATTCGCATGCCCTCAGAAACAATGATGTTGCCAAATTCACAGAAATCGGGACCGTCTAGCAGTGGAAGTGAATGGGAGGGTGAAACATCTACGCCAAAGTTATTTTCTCAAAATGAACTTAATGATTTAATACGTGATCTCAATTTATCAAAACAAGGATCAGAACTGTTAGCTTCAAGATTGAAAGAAAAAAATCTATTAGCACCAACCGTAACAATTACAACATACAGAACGCGAGAAAAAGAGTTATTACAGTTTTTTAGTGACGATCAGGGATTGGTGTATTGTAATGATATCGCGAATCTGCTTTTAGACATGGGTTTAAAGGAATACAAATCGACTGAATGGCGCCTTTTCATTGACAGTTGCAAAAGAAGTTTAAAATGTGTCTTATTGCACAATGGAAATAAGTTTGCATCAATTCCAATTGCCCATTCAACAAAACTTAAAGAAGAATATGAAAATGTAAAATTAGTTTTAGAGAAAATTAAATATTCGGAGCATGAATGGCCGATCTGTGTGGATTTAAAAATGGTTAATTTTTTACTAGGCCAACAAAGTGGATACACAAAATACCCTTGCTTTATTTGTATGTGGGACAGTAGAGCGAAGCAACTTCACTGGGAACAAGATGTTTGGCCTGTAAGAAATTCTTTAACTGTCGGTAAAGCCAATGTAATAAGGGAGCCACTGGTGAGCAGAGACAAAATCATACTTCCACCATTGCATATTAAGTTAGGTATGATAAAGCAGTTTGTAAAAGCTCTAAACAAGGATGGAGATTGTTTTAATTATATTTGCAGAAAATTTCCGAAGCTTAGTATGGAAAAATTGAAAGGTGGAATATTTGATGGTCCTCAAATACGGCAATTAATAAAAGACTCAGATTTTATTAAAGTTATGACTGTTCCGGAAAGTAAAGCTTGGAAAAGTTACGTGTTGGTAGTCGAGAATTTCTTAGGTAACCATAAAGCAACAAATTATGAAGAAATTGTGCAAGATATGCTGACAAACTTTCAGACTTTAGGAGCAAATATGAGTGTTAAGTTACACTATCTTCGCAATCATCTGGATAAATTTCCAGATAATTTAGGGAATTATAGTGAGGAACAGGGAGAGCGGTTTCACCAAGATCTAAAAGTGATGGAGGAAAGGTATCAGGGTCGATGGGATTGTCACATGATGGCAGATTACTGCTGGTCTTTGAAAAGAGATTGTCCACTGAAAAATTATAAGAGAAAAGCTCATAAAAGGCGTTTTATGGAAATATAAAACATATTTCCGATATTTTCCTCTTTATTTACTTCGATGTATCCTAATTTCCTCACAACAGAACTAACATTATAAATATATCTGTTAATTTGTATTTTGTTTTTCTATTTTTGTAATATAAAATGAAAATAAAGAGCAAATCTTACAAAATCATTGATAGCTTTATGAATTGTGTGCATAAATAGACCCAAAATCATTTTCATATCTAGGGCAACAAAACCACTGTAGACCAGTGAAATGATAAAAATTTTGGTTAATTTCTGATATAGAGTCAACAATACAAAAAAATAATAAAGACAATTAAAGGTTTGGTGTTAACAAATCTAGTATTTATTCTGTAAATTGTAAGTTTTAAGTGACAAAATAAAAACAAGAAGAATAAAAGTATGGTTAAAAATTTATTAATACTGATAAGAATAATATATAAAGACAATAAGGCCAAAGGATCAAAAATAATGGATACAAAATCCACTATCGAATCGGGAAAATCCCCGTACACGCCCTTTTAAAAAAAGAGGAAATAAAGGAACCAGGAAAAGACACAGAATCAACTCCCAGTACTTCCAAAGATGGGACTTCTAAAAATCTTATAAACTAATTACTTATATAAGAAGTCATCATTGGGATGTCTTAATTGTTTCTATAGAAAAGCATCACAAGTTGGCTTGACGATTTATTACACTGTTTTAGACTAGCACTAACATTAACGTTCACTGCACTAGCTAAATTGGCTTCTTTCTTTTAAGCCTTCTGTTAAGTGTAGAGTTGTCCAATAATTGCAGCGCTTCTCCGTTGACGTGGAAGTGGAGTCGACCCACATGTTTCGAAGCAAACCTCTTTATTTCCTCTTCGATTGTTGGCATCTTCAGATTTCTATGAAGATAATCGTTTCGATAGAACCAAGGTGCATCAACAATGTATCTTAGGACTTTATTTTGGAAAACTTGTATCATGTTGATATTACTCTTGCTGGTACATCCGCATAGCTGTATGCCATAAATCCAGATTGATTTTTGGGATTTGTTTATAAATCAGCAGTTTGTTGTACACTGACAATTTGGATTTTCTTCCTATGAGCCAATACATTTTTTTGAATTTAAGTTAAGTTCTTTACGCTTTTTTTTATGTGCTCTTTGCATTTAAATCTTACATCTAGGTTCATCCCTAGATATTTGGCAGAATCGCGATGCGGAATAACGTCATTATTTATTCTTATTTGTTTTTGTTCATTTGGTCGAAGAGTAAAATCAACATGCACTGATTTAGTTTGATTTATTTTTACTTTCCACTTTTTTGTCCATTGATTGATTCTGTTGCAGGTTTCCTGAAGTTTTTTTCTAAGGGTTTGTATAGTTCTGCCAACTGCCAATATTGCAGTGTCATCCGCAAATGTTGCTATTTTAACACATTTTTGTTGAGGAGATATGGCTGGTGTATAATAAGTATAGAATTGGTCTTAGCACACTACC